AACCTTCTTGGAGCACGGTGCGCTAAACAGTAAAACAATTTAACAAAGTTTCAATATAGATCATTTGCCTCAAGAAATTTTAATAGTTGAGGTATTCAAATCATTTGAGGAATTGTCACAGCCCTATTGCTGATGATAGCAATCTACAGATTGCTACCACAACTGCCCTGTGGCAGTCTGACAGGAGCAAGGCAGCCATAACGCATCATCAACCCATCTGACAACCAGCAAGCAAGGTGGGTAAAGTGTCTTGCCCAAGGACAGAAATGACCGGTTTCAGACAGAACAATGGAAAGAGGGGATTATCTTAAAATTCCTCAACTTCATTGCAAACGAAGAACTTGTTGGTTGGAACTTGGATCAAATTGGATGTTTCCTCAAAAAAGTGATACCTAATACACATTAAATCATTTTTGGACTGGACAGTACAAATTAACACCATACTTCTGGAATGTTCTTGATCAATCTCAACCCAAAGGCAATGAGAGGGCTATGTTTAAAAGCGGGGCATCTGCCAGGCACCAACCAGCTGAATGGAGCTCTGCCAGTTCCATCAAGAAGAGTGGTCAAATCTCTAGCCAGGTTTAGGCCAGAATCTTGAGGACCCAGTTATTGTTTTGAAAGTAGTTTCCCACCTACTCAGGTCCTCCTAAAAAGAAAAGTTGAAATGTATCATTAAAAGCCAAACATTTCTCTGACGTTCATCAGTGTTGAGAGATTTAAATGTTTGTAGGTTGATGAGTATGAGACAGGCAGGAAATCATAAGATCCTGTATCTCCTACCTGTTCATTTTTGAACAAATTATGTAAAATTGTATGTCAATTGGCATAATTATTTGTTTTATTTTTTCTGTTTTTACTTTTTGTCTGTCTGAAATAAATAAATAAATTCAACAGTGTCTTTGAACTGATCATAGACGCTCTCAGACTTTATCTTCTTGCTTAGAAACTGAATAAGGCCAACCTGTCCGTTCTGCAAGAAATTTTCAATTTACTAAGAGTATCAAGCACTAATAATTTCTTGAGGGTTGAAGCTATTCTACTGCATCCTGAAACATATCCTCAATGGTCATCTTCATTAAAAAATGATCTGTTTAAAAAACTGCACTCGTCAAACCCCACTTAATATCACCAGGGCTCACTAAGTCATTAAATGAGACCACCAACTGTGTTTTGATTAAATGATTAAATAGCGCATGTCTATAAGAGGCTTTCATGTTATTAACTTCTGTCTAAAACTGCAATATCACACATCGCTATACAGAAGATTAGCGGGGGTCAGACTACTCATTATAATATGTCACTCAGTACTTTTTATGGGTAATTGGAGGGGAAAGGAAAATGTGAACCCTCATTTTCATCTTCTCGGGTGGCATTTGACCTGCTGTTGTAAGTACAAAGAAAGCCGTAGTGTGACATCAGTTTTTACATTCATCCAGCGGGTAAAGAAATAAGCAACTGAGGGAAACACCAAAGCAAGTTTCTTGACTGGTGTGTTTGCATCAGGATTATGTGCAGCAACAAAACAAAGAGAAAATAGTTCAGTTGATAGTGCCAAAATAACCACTTCACTTAATGATGTCAAGTGAAGGCGGTGTGAGAATATTAAAGATGATTGTTCTCAGTTTTGGAACATTTGTTCTTTCTATATGAAGAATAAAATAAAAAAGGGGGTTTAATCACTGTAGCTCTTATAAAAATCAGTAAATGCAAATACAGGAAGGTGAAGTGAACTCTTAATGTAGTGATGGCATAATTTTGTCTTTATTGTCCTACTCAGATCAAATGTTTTTTTTTTTAACTACATACCATGCATTGAGAAAAAAGTAATTGTCTAATTTCTTTTCAGAATTCTTTTTGCATTTCATCACATATAAACAGACACACCAGCGTTCCTGTCCCAGCATAGTGTCCCCACTGTGTGAAGCTGGTCAGAGTTGTTGGAAACATGAATAGATCTACATGCCATGCAGTTATAGAAGAAAAAAACAATTAGAGGCTGGAAATGACTTAAGACTGGAAGAATTTTATCTTTCAGAAGAACATTAACCCAAAAAAAAAAAAATACAGACAGAGCAAAAACAGAATGGTTAAAATAATTCAGACTTATCATCTATTAAAATGGCCCTGTCAATTGAGAATTTGTGGAGGACACAATGTAAGCTGTAGTCTGTTATATTTTGATTTGCAAAGTGATACAATAAATGAAACTATGCTCTACTTTCTTTAACCATAATTTTTGTTAACTGTATTACCACAATAATCCAAATAGAATGCATTCAGGTTTGTGCTTCTAATTTGACAAAATGGAAAGAAGTTCAGTGGGGTTAGAATACTTTTTGTGCCACTGCAAAATCACTGTAAGCCTTAATGTTTTGGCATCTTGCAACTAAAGTTAATTGTTTGAAAGAGTTAAAAACTCCGTCATGCATTTTTCAAGAGCACTTTTGCATGACTGCTCTCTGACCCTACATTGCAGGCATATGTAAATTTTAGGCTAATTCTGGACTCAGACTGTAAATGTTCTCACACAGTATTAAAATCCCAAACACAAAAACCAGAGTGGCACAAATGCTTGACTTTTACAGCCTGTTTTCTGCAAGAACTCTCTGTATTCCTACATGCATGTGCACTTGAAAAAAACTCTTACAACAACTCTGCTTAGATAGTTTTTTTCTTTTAGTTTTTTTTTCTACCATATACCATTTGTATTGATCTAGTGTCTGTAATATATATATATATATATATATATATATATATATATATATATATATATATATATATATATATATATATATATATATACATATATATATATATATATATATATATATATATATATACATATATATATATATATATATATAATATATATATATATATATATATATATATATATATATATATATATATATATATATATATATATATATATATATAAAAAAAATAAAAAAAATTCCCTTCTCACCCACCGCGGGTGGTTCTTATCCTCTGAGCTCGGGTCCTCTACCAGAGGCCTGGGAGCTTGAGGGTTCTGCGCAGTATCTTGGCTGTGCCAAGGACTGCACATTTCTGGACTGAGATGTCTGATGTTGTTCCTGGGATCTGTTGTAGCCACTGCTCCAGTTTGGGGTTACTGCCCCGAGGGCCCCGATGACCACAGGCACCACTGTGGTCTTTACCTTCCAGGCCCTCTCCAGTTCTTCCCTGAGGCCCTGGTATTTCTCCAGTTTCTCGTGCTCCTTTTTCCTGATGTTGCAATCACTTGGTATTGCTACATCTACCACAACGGCTTTCCTCTGATGTTTATCCACTACGACAATGTCTGGTTGGTTCGCCATTACCATTCTGTCTGTCTGGATCTGGAAGTCCCACAGGATCTTAGCTCTGGCGTTCTCCACCACCTTTGGGGGTGTTTCCCACTTTGATCTCGGGGTTTCCAGTCCATATTCTGCACAGATGTTTCTGTACACTATGCCTGCCACTTGGTTATGTCGTTCCATGTACGCTTTCCCTGCCAGTATCTTGCACCCCGCTGTGATGTGCTGGACTGTCTCAGGGGCCTCCTTGCACAACCTACACCTTGGGTCTTGTCTGGTGTGGTAGATCTGGGCCTCTATTGCTCTGGTGTTTAGGGCCTGTTCCTGGGCGGCCAGGATGAGGGCCTCTGTGCTGTCCTTGAGTCCAGCTTTTTCCAGCCATTGGTAGGATTTACTCATATCAGCTACTTGGGTTATTTGCTGGTGGTACATCCCATGTAGGGGCTTGTCCTCCCATGATGGTATCTCTGGCACCTCAACCTCCGTTTCCTGTTGTCTGAGACATTCACTGAGCACATTGTCTGTTGAGGCTTTGTCCCTGATGTATTTATGGATCTTAGTTGTTTCGTCCTGGACAGTGGTTCTCACACTCACTATATATATATATATATATATATATATATATATATATATATATATATATATATATATATATATATATATATATATATATATATATATATATAAACCTGCGCAACAAGACACAGAAGCCCTTTTAAAACTGGGAAACGTAGCTTTACAAATGCCCAATAGTGACAAACCGTTCTGGCTCCGAGGGGAATCTACCTGCTCTACCAACAGTGGCCCTGCCTCAGTGAACAACTCAGTGAGATGCTTCTCGACATATCACTTCAAGACTACGTCATGGGGAAGCCACAAAAAAAAGAGCCTGGCACTATACAGTATGCATGACATCACTGAGAATTTTCCTTCCTTCTAAGATGTATTTCAGTGGCTGCTTAATATCAGTGCACAGCAATGCTCTGTGGAGTAATAACAACAAGCAAAAAGTGAATAGGCAAAAAGTAGGCCTGACTTATGAAAACACAGTTGAGGTTTTAGAGGTGCAATGACGTCACAGTCAGAAATATTTACAGAGCTGATCTCTTTTTGTAACATCTGCACAATTCAAGAAAACGGGCTACTGCTGTGCAAATTGTCGGTCTCAGCTCTCTTTGAAATGGTGGGATGAATGATAATTTACCCTAAATGATTAAGATAGATACATAGATGCCTCCCTATGAATGCTGCCCTGACCATGTGTGCCATTTATTTGCAGTCAGGATAGTCTGATGGAGATTTATGGGATTCATGGCCAACCTGTATATATTCTCTTGACAGATTCAAATGGTATTGGAACCTTCTCACATGCAACATCTGTGTGCATGAATGTGTGTGTGCGTGTGTGCACGTGTGTGTGTGTAAAGCTTTCAGAAAGCTTTGTGTCTTAGACCTGGCATGTAAAAGGAAAATGGAGGACATCACAAGAAATTGCATTTTCACAATGTGACTGCATTCAAAAGCCTGAAAACTGTAATTTGAGATATGAATTCATTACACGGCTTTTTCATCCTCAGCAGTAGCAAAAGGCTGGTTGATGAAAGGGGCATAATGTGGTGCCACAGCGCCCCTTAGCGGCGAGCAGAGGAGCCGATTTTTTTTCAGCAGTTGTTCCTTTACCTTCGGTGTCACAATGAAGCGTGGCAGCTGCTGCAGGGTCGGGGCTGTGGACGTTTTGCACCGTCTTCTTCGGAGTTCGAGCGTGGAATGTTGCTGCTGGGTTGTGCTCCCGTAGTGCGAGGCCCCGCGCAGGCGGCCGCGGAGACCTGTAGGTTTGCTGGCATTTTGGTTTCTTCTCACGGCATCAGTAAAACCAGATGAAAAGTGTTGAAACTTGGTCTGGAAAAATCAAGAGGAGACCAAATGAAAGCTGCAGCTTTGGGAAGAATTGTTGAGCTGAGCTATTTTTGTGGTCGCATTCAACCCACTATTTAAAAAGGCCAATTTCCCCTTACATCTCCTTTCTAGACATTTTAAAGATAAAACATATGAGCTAAATCACATCACATTTCGAATGCCAGTTAGTGAAAAGTTGTCAATCTAAGAAAGGCCAGTCGATTGCATCGAGTCATTCCCACACATTCCTCATGACTCAAGCTGTTTGGATTGCAGCCTAAAAAGCTCACATCGGGTGCGCATATCGGTGCGTTTCTGCGCACATGTGCCTATATATTTATTGACGTGTGCGGCTCTTTCTGAAGGGAGATTACTGGATGGAACGCGCGACACGAATGACGAAAACGTTTAAATGTAAAGGTGGAATGGTGAGCGACACGTTAGAGGGGAGCAATGTTTCTACCCGCGAGAAACACACACGGGGAGAGAGAGGGTGGGTGTGTGTGTTTAGGCGCGCTCGCGTGCGTGCTCGTGTGTGTGTAAAAATGAGAGTGGAAAAACAGCCTGTGGCTCCTCAGTGAATATTCCCCTCACGCTCCTCTCCTATGTAGGGCATGCAGCAGGTTGTGTGTCGAGGACTCGGACGAACGACGGAGCGAACCTGCCGCTATGCTCCACTTTGAGAGGGAAGGCTAAAGAAATTAGGCTAAATAGAAACGCCCGGGGCAAAGCAGTCGCCAAACAATTAAAGACACGAGTTAATAACTAATAAGGTAATAATAATAATAATAATATTAATGATAATAATAATAATATTAATAATAATAACAAAACTCAAATCTTCTCACCCCATTCCCGTGACACATCTCTCCAGGCGGCCAGGTGGAGATGACATTGCAGCCTGTTACTCCATTCGGGTGGGAATAACAAACGTCTCCTTCGTCAGATTAATCCATCCATTTCTTCTCCCTCCAGAAGGGCACCATAAAACTGCTAAATCCACCTGTCTGGTTCTGAAGACCTGCCGCCCCCTACCCTCCTCCGCTGCTGCCGCCACCTCTCTCACTCCCCTTCTCCGGTAAGGTAGTGAAAGCCTTTCCTTTTCTTTCCTTTCCTTTCCGGCTGAGGCGTCAGAAGCGGTCCATTTAGCCGAAGCAGTTTGACGCGCGGCTGTCAATCAGACCCCAGAACAGCGCTTGTTTTTTGGGGATCTCCAGCGGCAGCCCCGCGCGTTCCGCAGTGAGAAGGCTCGTGGACAGGTCCGCGCGCGCCTCCTCCTCCACCTCCTCTCCTCTCCTGTCCTCCTTCGTTTCCTCCTCCTTCTTCTTGCGCCTCTCTCCGGATTCTTAGAGACTGAAGGGGGGATTCCGTCACAAATAACATCAAAACACACAGAGAGAGGGAGAAGGAAGAAGAGAAAACAATCCACGCGCACTCTCTCCCTCTCTCCTTTCACTCTTGCCTCCGCTCTCCCTCTCTTTATCCCTGCTTTTCCCTCAGAGTTAAGCTCGCTGAACAATTTAAAACAAGTTTAAAACGGGTCAACTTATTTTTTTATTTTGTATTGTAGGCTTCTCTGCTTGCGCGACAGAGGAGATTCTCGGCGTCCCGGCGGAAAGAAATGAGGGAAATGTTCTCCGGCAGTCTCTTTACCCCGCAGCCCGCCCACGCTTCGCTTGCTAGAAGTACTTACACATCAGCCTGGTTAATTAAACATATAGTGGGGGTAGAGGGGCAGTGACGATGGGCGCAGACTTCATCTTCTCGTTGTGAGTGAGAAAATACAGAGTGGTACTATGTAGTTAACAATGTCAGTGTATTTTAACAGTAATTAAATGGTTGAAAAACACAATTTAAAGTGTACTAAGGGTACTACAATGTGCTTTTTTGGAACAACTAAAATTATACTTTGTATTTTTTAAGTATACGGCTTTTTATGTAATATAAATGTGCTTATATGCATAATTACTATATCTTGTACAAGTGTAAAATTTTTATGATCAAATTACATTTAAAATATATTCAGAATGTATTTTAAGTATACATTACATAGCTATTGTACATATTAGTAGTAGTGTAATCACAGTGTACTAAAATTACACTTTTGCTTTACTATAATTACTTATGAAGTACGCTTTTTAGTTACTTCATGCCTTTTATTATTATTGTTCTTTGCCACTTTGTACATTACATGCTAGTACTGCAAACAGACCAGTTTACAGAAGGATCAATTACAACTCAATTTCTGGCTGAAAAAACTTACATTATGTACTCAATATATTCACATTTTTCAAGAGTAAATTGCCAGTTTAATATCACAGATTTGCACAAATTGTCAATATATTAAAAGTTTGCAGACAACTTACTTATGAAAATTAGCACAATAAAACAATGAAGGAAATGTGAAAAATATTTCATCAAGGACAGAGTATTGTTTTAATACAATGTAACAGTATTCCAGTATTACTGCAGAATGACATTTCTCCTTCCTAAGAACAGTGAGGATCAATGACAGAACATTCGCATTCACTGCATCACTGCACTTTACAGAAACCTACAAAAAAGAATAATAGATCAATTAAACATAGAAAGCACTTATATTTTAAAGAGTACCAAAAAAACAGCAAGGAAAAAAGCATGACTTACAATTTCAAGACATTGTGGACTTGCTATGTATGTGTCATCATCAGAACTGGTGTGGTGATGATTGGGACCGGATGCCTGGAATTAACTTCTTTGCCTGATTATATTACAAAATATATTCAGGCAAGTAGAAAAATAATAGGCAATATCATAGAATCAGTTGATGTTGCCATTAACTATGAAGCTGTCTTAAGTGTGGACTTAAGGGAGACAAACTACCTTAAAAGCTTTCCATCCATGATCTGAACACGCTGGTCCTTGCAGGGGGCTGAGGGGGGCTGGTAGTGCCCATCTCCAGCAGTCATCAAATGAGAGGTGGGGTTCACCCTGGACAGGTCACCAGTCCATCACAGGGCCCTGAAAGCTAACAACAAATAAAATGTTTGAAAGAGAAATACAAGAGAATAACAAGGGGGAATAAATTCTGTCAAATTATTTTTAATTTTTTTCCATATTTTGACATATGTCAAAATATGCATTTAATAAACATATTGAATGCTTAACACATTTGTTGAGCACTTAGTGTTGGAAACACACCAGTTTTTGCTGATCAGTGAAAAGAAAAAGCCTTTCTCCATCGAGACGATGTGGAGGTTCATCCTCAGAACTGGTTGGTGATCTGGTGGAGTCAGAGCCGAGACGGAAATGTCTTTAAGTTTTCTAACACTTGATCCCTGGCCTCCTCTTTCATCTTATCTTGCTTAAGATGAAAGAACAATGAAAAACAATGAACGAGTTATAACAAGTTTCTCTGGCATACTGAGTTTAACTAAACCCACTTAAGTTTATGAAGAAAACTATATTAAGTCTCAACACAGAGAGCCTCCATGCAGTTATAATATAAAGTTGAATGACTGTTATAACAACAAGCATAAAAAACACCAAAAAATTAAATTATTTGTTAATATTTATCAAGATGCACCTGTGTGTGATTCTGGTGTGATTGGAACACTGCCATGTTTGAATGACAAGCGCATTGAAGGAGAATATAAATTGTTATTTCAGCATATTTTTTTTTCTGTTTTAAATTAAGTTAAGAAAAAGCCTGGCTAAATGTAATGCCATACACTCTACTACAACAATTCGCACTTATTCCGATTTTTTTTTTTTTTTTTTTTTTTTTTGTCTTAAAGAAATGTATGTTGACTGCGCATAAAAACTTCGAGTTCTTCTTCTCTGTCCTCGTGGGCTTTTCTCTCTTGCTGTCGCTTCTCCGAGCGAGTGTTGCCTATTCTCTGAAAATTAGGTCGCGCGGGGCGGTTATGCGCACAGCACCACTTGTCGTGGCATCGCCACCTTGTGCTCACCCAAGCCGAACCCGCGCGCGTGCGTGCGTTCCCGGCGACGATAGTGTCAAGCTGTTGTGTGCGCTCGCGCTCCCCGGTGACGCCTGTCTCCGCGTCAAACTAACGCCGCTCGTTCGCGCCTCCGCTCCTCGTCAACTCCGCATTGAGAAAAATAAATAAATAAAGAAAAAAGAAAAAAAAAATCAATATCTGTTGTAACCTAATCTGGTTGTCCCTTGTGTGGGACAACAGTAATATGCACAATTACTGCGCGGAAACGTTTATTGCTATGTTGCGTCACGAATTTGTTTTGTTTTGTTTTGTTTTTTGTTTTTTAAGGCTCCACGGATGAGATAAGGGAAAACCGAATCGACGCTTATGAATTATACAGTCTCAAATAAACATGATTAACAGATGAAAACTGCAGTGCTGGGGGTCCTCAGGGAGTCTGACAACCATCACCCCCTCCCTCTCCCTCCCTCTCTCTCCGCTTCTCCCCAAGTGTTGCCTTGTGGTCCCATTGCAGCCAGATGGTGAAGATAGCCTACTGCAAGGGGTCATGTTGGCCGACTGGGACTGAATGTCATAAGCTGAATTTCCCTCAGAGGCAAGAAACAAGGCGGCATAAGCAGATCAAAGGGCTTGTTATTAAGGAGCAGTTCACTGCCCTCTTCTTTCCTCTCCGCTTCCTCCTCCTTCCATCCCTAGAATAAAAATCTCCACCTGTTGAGGTCCTCTATCCTCCTCCAGATCCGCAGCCTCCCAGGCTTGGAATGAAAGAGATGCATGATTGCATAATGTAGGCATAAAAGAGAGGGAGAACGACCACACTGAGCAGATAATGGTTTATTTTTCTTCTTTAGAAAAAAAACATTAATGGTTCTAAAATATAAAAGAAACAGATAGCTGCGACAGGCCAGAGAAAGCACACACCCACCCTAACCCATGAGGATGACTTTAGAGTATTAACAACGACTTTCATTCTCAAGCTCTTCTTCACCAAAATTTTGTCCCTGTAGAGTCTGGTTGAGGTTGTCTTATTCTATATTTAAACCCAAAGCTGTTGCCAGGAAAAGAAATTCATACATGTGCAGGGTCTTCATAAATAGGCTTTTAGAAGCTGTGCTTTTATTAATCACATTGAAGGACATGCGTCCCCACAGACCTCCCTATAGTAATTTCTGGGACATGACCTTTCTTGGGGTGTTACATGTGCAGAGTTCTTCACATCTCTCTCTGTTTCACTAAACATTCTATCATCATTTAATAGTGACTCACTTCTGCTCTGTCTACATTGTGTGAACTATATTTTATTGCATTATGTGAACTGAGGAAGTGTCGGTGGTTGGGAGTCAGGTGGGCTGGAACCATCTGAACATGTCTGTTTTATTATAATAGATTCATAAGTGGCGGCCTCAGTCACCATGAATCTTTCATGGATCACTTGCAGAAGTTACTTTAGACATGTCAAGCTGCAGAGACAAAGATGGACAAACATGTTGACGGATCAGTTCAGGTTGGGATGGGCTTCCAACACCCCACTGCTTTACCTCTTCATTTCCTCTATCTAATTAAATTTGACAAGCCTTTGTACAAAAAGCTCAAAGTGAAATGTGTTTATAGAATATTTGAAAAACCTGAGAGCGTCATTATCACCGTGCAGCATGTCAACAATGTGCTAACTATTTTGTTATTACTCTGTGTAATTATTAAAGTGGAAAGCTCATTTCACTATCATTGTTTGGCTAATAGTCAAAAGCCCAGCACTCTACTGTTCCTAGAATGAGTCAGACAACAGGAAAATGAGTCTAATTAAAACATCTCCAGCTATGCAACCAGCGAGCAAGCAAAGAAACAAACCGATAAGAAAAAAAGTTAACAAATAAACAGATAAACTACAGGGGAGACAGCATGATTACACAAGCCTGACAAAAAAGAGAGATGTATCTGATTATGTAATTTTTGTATCCATGGGAACTGGGTTTTTCAGTGTCACCACTTTTTTGTTATGTCAGAGGCGCAACCTAGAAACACATGTCTTATGGTTTTCTATTGGTACTGGTGGACAAGCCGCATCCATTTATATACAACTGACTGCATTGACTGCACAATCTCAGCCACACATTTATAGCTGTGGCTTTTCCTCATTGATTAATCCCTGCAGCAGTCCATTCAGGGTTCAACTAATGTGGAATTTACTTTAAAGATACCCTGACAATAGGAAACAGAAACCTGCAATACAAAATACTGTAACTCTTAATGTGGCTTTGAAACTTATGTTTGCATTGTAGATACAGTTTTAAGGATTCAAATTTCAGCTTACAACTCCATCCACGAATGTGAACTCCAAGTTCCATTCTTGTTGAGAATAGAACTATGTTCCCCAGGGCTTCTTCCTGTCAGATATGATCAGAAAACTCCCCACACAAACAGGCCGAGAGGTATACTAATGCCCCTATCATCTCAAATGACTCATTACAATATATCATTACAATATGATAAGTGTGCTAGCTAAGGACTTGCATACTTAGCTATTTTACAAAACTTTAGTTACATTTGTTTGTTCTTCTTAACGCCACTGAATCAGATAAAGTGGAGTATCAGTTTTGTGTATACATATTACATAATTTATACAAATCATATATTTGTACTAATCATATGCCCCAAT